TTCTCAAGCCTGCACAAAGTCAATTACTCATTCATTTCTTTCTTCTGGACATCTTGCCAGACCTTTTCTCAAGCCTGCGCAAAGTCAATTACACAATTTCTTGAGCTCATGGTAACCTTCTCTTTTGCACGCTTTTTCATCGGTAGATGGCACACCTTCCCCCCACTCAAAATGCGATGTCCCCATCGCACGACCAGTTCTCACTCGGAGGTATGCAGACCTTGGCCAACCAACTGAGTAGACGGATGCCGGCCCATCAGCCCCAAAAAGGAAGGGTGATCAGTCCTCCCCCTGCTGATAACTCACCTCATCCCCTACTTTGTACGACCTTTTGCCGCTTACGAGACGGGCATCATCACTGAGGTACCTCCTCACATCTGCTAGGTAGGTCCAGTCCAAAACCTCGCAGGACCCCGTCTTGTCGTAAGGACTTTCCCGTGAATCTTTCCTCCCGAGTGGTGTTTTCTTGGATCCGGCCTCTTTTTTTCAAGAGACTTGGGGCTCTCAATTAGTTTGCGAGTGCAGTTACGAAAACCTCGCGGTTAGTCCCGGAACGGTTGTAATGATCCGGCAGGGCGGTGTCACTCGCCCTGTGGTGGTTGCGGCTTCCACCTGGTACCACGTCCGATTCCTCCCTCTGGACAGTGTTGCTCAACTTAATGCGAGCAGCCGTGGTCCATTCCAAACGGCCGTGCCGCTCCTCTACGGCGTGTGGTTGGGGAGAAAAAAAAAGAGACTTAGGAAAAAGAATGGTTTTCTCGCTCGTTTGGCTCTACGCCCTTGACGTTCAAGTTCTCAACATGAGGCGCAGTTCGAACTCCCCGACTTGAGTTCGTTGTTGGAGTTAGTTCCGGACGGCCAGCATCAATCAAAGAGAACGATGCCATGGTCCTTCAACCCTTATTTTCCCTTATAAGGGATAGGTTGCGCTGAGACTTTTCCCTTGACAGGTAGAGGTCCTGGGGTTGCGATGTAGCTTTCCCCCTTATGTCGAGACCTGAGACTAGAAAAAAGGAAAAACTCAATCTCTTGCTATTTCCATGGTCGGCCCGACGACCTTACATCAAATTGCCTAGGGTCCCCTAACTATGCAATGCAATATCCAATTCTCAAACGCTCAATCCAATGTTATTTCCAAGGCTGATTCTCATGGCTGGTCCGACAGCCTCTCATCAACAAGACCACACCTTGTGGCCGCTCTGGCGGTCGCTTTCTCAATAGCCATCTTTTCAAGGGCCGACCCGTTGGCCCATCTTTAGTTCTCAACTTTCTCATTCCTCAATATCCAATCCTTATGACCGCCCCAACGGTCCATGCCCTTCTTGTCTTAAGGCTTAGCCTTCTTTATCCTGCCCTTCTCTTCCCAACGCATCAACCTTTTTTATCCATCCTCATGGTTATTTCAATGACCGACCGACGGGCTTTTCCATCTCTCATTGCTCATTCCAACTCATTCTCAATCAACCTTTCTCAATCAAATATGCAGGGGACCCTTGTGCCTATTTCAAAAGAAATGTCCCTTRTCAGGGACCATTTCCGAACAACCTGGTTAGGGTCGTTCTTTTCCATTCTCAAATCGAATAGCCTGGTTAGGGTCATTCCTTTCCATTCTCAAGTCGAACAGCCTGGTTAGGGCCATTCTTTTCCATTCTCAAGTCGAATAGCCTGGTTAGGGCCATTCTTTTCCATTCTCAAGTCGAACAGCCTGGTTAGGGTCATTCCTTTTCATTCTCAATGTTAGCGTCCGAGGGGGTGGGCCTCGAGGATACGGATCCCATTTCTGTCTCAGTGGTTAGAAGGTGGCCATATCTTTTTCAGTTTTATGCGTCCGGTTTCCTTTCATCCATTCCTCAAAGCAATGTATTGTCCATGCATACATCCGACTTAGCGTCTAGTACTCGAGTTGAGACTCGCGATCCCAAGCAGCACTAGCCCACCCGGTCGTTCAACTATATCAAAAGACAGGGGCACCCCCTCTTATTTTCACTTGTTCTGATAACTCAGATCTTGGTTATTCTTAGACTCATTCATGACTTAGTTGGATTAGGCTCCTAGGGAAGGAGTGTTTTTCACACCCCTTAACCCATAGGTGCCCTAACCTCTCTTGTACTCGACCAACATTCAATGCCTTGCTTGCTCGTCAATCTGTACTCAAAAATTTTCTTCTCAAAGCATAACCCTCATTCCATCCAAATTCATCCCATGCCCCATGTCATTGTCTTGTGTACCCACTTTCGAAGGTAGCTCATCCAGAAAGTAGCCTCAAAAACTATCTTCTAACTTATCGTGACACAGTCTTAGTTGGCCCTCTCATCACTTGTCCTTAGCAAGCTTACTCATACTATACACATTCTTGTCGTTCTCATGTCTTGTAAATAAGAAAAGAAAAGCAGGATTCATGTTCAACGCTTAATCAACATCTAATCCCTATTGCTGTCCTGTGCCTCAACTCGCTCGGCCCCTTGTCCACCCTGTTCCTCGGCAGGCTTTCTAACCCCAGGCCGAAGGTCTCGATTTCTCTCATTTTCCTTGCAATTTTTTGTAGTTCCGCCTCACTGAAAAAATCCAACGGCGTGGCTTCCACCCCTGCCTTTGCGAGTTCCCGGGTCTTGATAATCCACTCGTGCTTGATCACATTGGTCCGTGGCTGAAACCAATGACTGGGCGTTGGCCCAAACTCATCCTCCCATCTGAAGGCCTTTTCGTGCGGCTGGTGCATAGGAGGCCGCCTCTCTTCCCTAGGCCTCGAGATTTCATCCCTCTCATCCCCGCTGCTGATTTCTATGATTTCTTGTACATCCTCTTCCTCATCCTCTTCATCTTCCGTCCGTATGGGGCTGTACCTGCCTGTCAAGTTCTTTGGATCGTAGGTATAGGGGATTTATGTCCTTGTCCCATACCCTTCTTCAACGCCAGGATCCCTCTTTTCACAACTATCGTGGCCACTTCGTCCTTCAAGCGGACTTTCCCTTCTCTCCTCGCCTTCCTCATGCTCGTTGCGCATGTCCTATCTCCCCTCGCTTTCCCCATGGCAAGACTCACGTTGTTCGCCCCTATTGGCTCCTTCCTCGTCAGAGGCCTGGGCCTTATCTTCCATATCCGCATTGCCCCCTTCTCCTACATTTGCCCTTTCCTTCTCGCCCTCACTCTCAGATGAGATATCTATACCTTCTCCCTCCCGGAGGGGCGAGGGTCTTCTACATACGCACTTTCTTCCTCCCCTGCCTACCACTGGCCCGGGTATGAGCCCAATGTACAACTTTCTCTTGACCGTCCTCCTCCCTCGACTTGGTCCCGCTTCCTCCCCTCCGGTAAGCCTGTTAATCGCCCCGCTGTCATTTTCGTTGCCGTATTCCATTTTTGTTTTTTCTTGTGCTTTTATTCTAGGTCCTGTATAACAAAACAACGTCCGCAAACCCCTCACACACCCGTTTCCCCAGTCCGATAGGCAGCTCCCTTCTGAGAATGCTCCCAGTACCCTTTGCTTCATACCATTATTTATACATTTCCCTCCCCTATGCAAATGCGCCGTTTGTGATGATCCCATTGTTTCCCCGTCAAAAACAATGATACAATGCCCCAGATAATCCTTCCTGTCGTTACACAAACCCGTTACCGCAAACTCCCAAGTCATCCTGCCTTTCAACCTCAGTCAGTCCATTCCATTGTCCCAGCCCCCCCCCAAAAAACGACAGTGTATGGACGCAGTCAGAGACAAAACCATAGTGCCGGCAAGGTCGCTGTCAGTCCTTAGCTTGTTGCCCCCCAGTTTCCTTATCCTCGGCCTCCTGAAGCCATTGCTCCACTGGGTCCCGACGTAGAAACATGACCAATCGTTGCCCCGGGAAGGGTTCTTTCAATCCAATTTCATCCAAATCTTACAGTTCAAAGGTGTTTAGTCCCACCCACTTGGCGACCCGGTAGGGGCCTTTGAACCTCCTCCCCAGCTGTCCAGACCAAGTATTTTCTAGTGTCGAGTTCCTTAGCAATAATGTCTCCCCCACTTGAAGTGGCTCCTTTCTGACATTCTTAACATGGTCTCACCTTGCTTTGTCCCTCATTCCGCCGTCTAGTACCCGGTTGGCGATGTCTTTCCCTCTTCGTTCTTAAGGACCTGTTGACACCTTGCCTCGATTAACTCTTCCGTGGTCATCCGCTGATCATCATCTAACCTGTTCCAGGTAGGTATCAAGGCTTCAACGGGAAAGTCGATCTCTCTTCTGTACCAAAGTTCTGTTGGGATACATCCCGTTGTTCTCTTAGGTGTCATGTTCTCTGAGAAGACAGCTTGCTTGAGATACTTGGGCCAGCTTCCCAGATGGTCCGCTGCGAGCTTCGCAATTGTGTTCTTTAAGGTTCGGTGCCCTCTTTCCACAGGTGCATTGGCATCCGAGTAATACGGCTCGATGAGTTTGATCGGTACATAGAGCCTCTTAAGCATTCCCAATACTTCTTGGTTCACAAACTCTATTCCATTATCCGCTATAAACCTCCTGATGAAGGGATGCCTTATGCAGAAGTCTTCTATCCAGTCTGCTACACTTTTCCCGGTCTTTTTCTTGAGAGTGACTGCCTGCACGAACCCACTCATGTTGTCTCGTGCATCCAGGATATACCTTTACCCATCTGTTGATACATGCATGACCGCCAGATCGAGGTGGACCAGATGTCCCATCCCTAGCACCCGCATGGGTCTAAGTGGCTCAAAGATACGCGTCGAGCTTCGTTCTTGGCAGATAAGGCATGCCTGGCACTATATGGCGACCATGCCTGCCATGCCTGGCCAATAATAAAGTGGCGTTATCTTTGCAAGAGTTTCTTTGGACGATCGATGTCTTCCTGCTAACCCGTCGTGCATTGCCTGGATAACGTTTAACTGCCTAGATCTTCCACACACAATTCTTCTTGACATAACACCTTCCTCTCTTCGAAACAGATGGCCGCCCCTTAGGACGTACCTTTCGGCCTCCTCCCTTGCTTTAATGGTGACCTCCATAGGTTGTTTGTTTCCTACTAGCAACAACCCGATCTCCCGAAAGATCCCTTCGTATATGTGGGCATAGAAAAACTCTTTTCCTTCCTGGTCCTCATCCTTTCTCTCCTACATTTGGCTTACCATCCATCGCAACTCTTTCTTTTCCCAAGATTCTACTAAGCTCATCACGGCGTCCCGGCCTCCCTCAACCGCCATTGCTATTAGCTCCTCCTTGGGTCCTACTATCTCTCCCCACAAATCTTTCTCCTCTTTGCGACCTCGAGTGGTGACCGGTCCTTCTCTAAGTTCTGCTACTACGGCAGGTGCCCCCTTCTCCAAAGTCCGGATCAACAGTTCTCCCGACGTGCATCCTTCGCCCATCATTTCGTTTTCCACCGCAAGAGTTCCTCCTTCGTATTCAAGGAACACGTCTATGGGCTCCGCATCTTTCACCCCTTCGGGAGTGATGCAGACCCGACTTAGCCCATCTGCCTTGTTTCTGATTTCAGCAATCCGTTCGAACTTGTAATCGAACTGCCTGATAAATCCTACCCATCTCCCCACCGTCGGATCTATAGGCCTGTAATTCTTTAAGGCCTCTGCGACATTCGTCGGATCGATCCTTAAGATGAACTGCCTCCTAAATAGGTAGGCCTGGAAGGTCTTGAGGCAATGTAAGATGGCTAAGACCTCCTTTTTGAACCGTGAGTACCACCGCTCTGCGGAGTTCAGGGTTCTACTTTCGAACCAAATTGACCTCTTTTTTCCTTCCTCATCCCTTTGAATCAGTTCGCCTCCTACGGCCAAGGGTCCTATATCCGTTTCTAGGATGAATGGTTGTCCTACTTCATCATTAAAGCAGGGTGCCGACAAGGCGACCTTCTCTGATGTCAGTATGTCCTTGAGGGTTTGGACGGCTCCTTCTCGCTCCTCCGTCCAATCCATGGTCCCTTCTTCTCTTATCATAGCCCGGATAGACTCAGCAATATTGGCAAAAAATTTAATGAAAATTCTCCAAAAGTTGACCACGCCTAGGAATGCTCTTACCTCCGTCGTCATGCGCAGGGGTGTTGGCCACTGTGATATCTTGTCTGTCTTTGCCAGATCTGGCTTCCTACCGTAAGCACCGTAGCGAAATCCTACTGTAGTTACTTCCGGTACTGCTAGAATACTCTTTGGTCCGCTAGCCGTGATGTTGTATACTAGGAACCGGCGGAGTAAGTCTTTGATGTCTTGTAGATCGTCCCATACAAACCTTCGGATTCCTGGCTGGACTTTCGTCTCGTCCTTCTCCTGCGCGCCTTTGATCGGATTGTCATTGATGTAGGGATCGCACTTATCTGGGAACATATCCCCGACTACGACGTACATTCTCCGTCGCGCTTCGGCTACCGCGTTTGTGAAGCCCATAGGGGTCACTTGCATCTGCAACTGGCCTATGGGGGTGTGCATAGCGGTGTAAGGCCTGTCCCGAACATCCAATGGAAGCTGGTCGTACCCTGAGTACATATCTATCAGGGAGTAGATGCTCCGGCCGGCATGCGATTCTGCTAATAAATCGGTCTGAGGCAGCGAACCAGCATCCCGGATGGTTACCGCATTCAACTTCTGCAGATCCTGAATCCACCTTAACGCTTTGTTGGGCTTCCGAAAGACGAACCACCAGTTCGCGTATGGTGACGCCATAGGTTCTGCGACGAAGGAGTCCATCTTCGCTCGAAGAAGGTCTGTCACTTCCCCGACTATCCCAAATTCATAGGACGGACCCTTGTCATTCCAACACTCATGCTCTACCGTGTGGATTCTGACTGGAGGGATCAGCTTCGCGTCCAGTCGCCCCTTTTGGTGATCACTAAAGGCAAATGCCAGATGAAACTCCTGACAGGTCTTTTTTATCAGGCGGGTTTCTTCTTCCGTTAAGAATCCATTTATCCCTATCTTCATTGTGTTAGCTACCTCATCCGGTATCCGATGCCCTTCGGTCGCTCTTCTCTCTTGGATTACTCGAAGAACTTCCTCCTCCTTCTCCATGGCCTCTTCCTTCGACGTCTTTAGCAGAATCGAGACCGGTTTTGCTTTCTTTCCTACCAGCTTGTATTTTCGAACACTTCCTTCCAGGATCTTTCTTCTAACAAATGAACGGCCGAGATTGCCCTCGTCGCCTTTACGACTCATGGCTGAATTCTAACTAATTTTTCATTTAGACAATATCCCTTTTGCACCTCTCGTTCGAATTTGGCCAAGGCCACCAAGTCCACTCCTACCTTGTTGTATGTGAGGGCCTTGATGAGCTGTAACAAATCGGGGATATCGAGTGCGGCTTCTGACACGTCCATGCGTACTTCTTTCCGTTTAGACAGGTTGTCACCGAGTTCAACTTTCGACTCCTTTTCTGCTACCATAACACCTAAGACTTCGTCCTCCTGCCTCCTCTTCTTCTGGGGCAGGCCCATCTTGATCCATTCCTTCTTGTTGAATGCCTCCTCAATCATAATTTCTACCCTTTCTCTCATGCTCTCCATCCGCGCGAAAGCCCCTTTTCGTGGGTTATCTTCGAACGACGGCGACCACGTTGCCAACTTCCCCTTCGGAGGGTTTCCTCCCGTCCCGAGGAGTCGGAGGAGCTCACCCCGGCCGGTCACCGGGTCCTCTATGTCTACCATATACGTGCCATCGTGCAAGTGCATGCCTATCATTTCTACGTTTGCGCACCATGGCCTCCCGAGGATAATGTCGTGATCCATTTTCTCCATTACGGTCATCCGCTGAAACGACCAGATTGACTCCCTGATTCCCGCCTTAACTGCGCATTTCGTGACATACCCAACGAACGAAATTTCCCCACTGGCTCCCCGGATGCTCCCTGTTACTTTCTTATTTACCATACAACCCGTGATCATTGCGAAATCCCTCCTTTCCACTCCCTCGTCTACTAATGTGTCGGTATGATGAGTCCCGATCTGGATTTTCAACTTCCCTACAGGTAGCGTATGGCAGCTGAGCTTTGTCGCGAGAGGTGCCCTCATGACCTCGCCACCTTCTCGGTCTGGTAAGCTCAAGCGGATGTCCGCAAAGGCTTTCTCCAGATCCTCTAAATCCCCGCGACTCCTTTGAAGGTTTGCAACTTCTTGCGGAGCTCCTCCTCTCCTTCCCCTTCCGGTGATTCACGGTTTTCCTCTATCTCTACTCGCCGTCGAGTCAACAGTTGTCTAAGCCCTTTGAGCAACCTAGCGCTGGCCTGCAGCATAGTCTGAAACGACACTGACACCATGGTCCCTAGCAGTTTGCTAAGGGTGTCATCGATCCCAGGCATGGTTAAAATCAGGATTTGGTACCTAAACTTCTTTTTAGCGGCGGTAACTTTATCCGTAGGTTCCTCTTCCCTAGGTTTCCCATAGACTTTCTCTGGTTCCCCGGCCTTGGGCTCTGTCTGGGGCACGGAGCCTCCAGCAACTTCCTCCATCACGGTGTCACGGATAATTCTTCTCCCAGTTGTCCCTAGTCGAGTGGTCGCGTTCACCCTATCGTGTCCGTCGCTTTCCAGGATAAAGTTGACCTGCGGCCCGCGGCCCCGAAGTTGATCCCAGATGATGTCGACCACCGGTTCAGCCTCTACTGCTGCTATCTCTAGCCCATGGAGCATGATAAATGCTCGTCGCATCCGCCTTGGCGAATTCCAATTTACCCGTTCTCCCTGTGGTCCAATATCTCTCCCTTTTATGACCTGGTATATTTCCTTTTTAATATATCATGGTTGAGTTTTTGACATGCGCGCACATAATGTCCCATCGCGGTGCAGTACTTGCATTGCTCGTTAGCAAGATCTCTTCGTTCGAATCCTCGATTGGCTACACCTGGGGGAACTACGGCTTCCTGGGGAGGGAGGGCGGGTCGGGATACTTGCGCCTGCATAACCAGCAGCGCGTTCTCCACCCTTTCGATCTTATTGTCGACTCCGTGCACCCGTTCGTGTAGGCTCTTAATCCCTCTTTTTACCTTGTCGCCTGTCCTACTGGTCAGATCTATAACTTCCCCTTCTTTAAGCAAGGCCAACGTCTCGGTCACTACTGTCTTTTCGGCCAGATCCGTTACGGTGTTAAAATCAACATCCCTGGTGTTTACGAACTTGCTCGTCTGCTAGTAAGCCGACAAAATCTTGTCTTTGTCGAACTCGGAGAACTGCCTGAGGAAGTATTTGCTCATTATTCGGTCCGTAACCCTGGGGATCCTTAGTGCTACCAGAGTAAACTCCCGTAGGAAGTCAATGTACGTTGCGAAGTTCTTCCTCTGAACTGCCGCTAAGTCGACCTCCATAGCCATCTTCTCCGCTGCCAAGTATTTCCTCTTCATCACATCCCGGGTCTCCTTCCAAGATCGGCTCGCGGCCACAATGGCCATTTTGTCCCGCCCTAGGCTCAACGACACATGCTGTCCTAGGTGGTCCATCTTTTTTTCTTCAATCCATTTCAGCAACACAGCTAGGTTCTCATAATCGATTAGGAACTCCGTGATGTTCGCCCAGTCGAACGTCAACTTTTTCTTAGCGTCCGCTAGGTAGCCCTGATTTTTGTTTAATGCTCGCGCGAGGGATGATACTATCTTCCTAAGGCCGCCTTCGTAGCTACTGGCCTCTCCCGCTGTACTGGTATCTTGTCCTTCCTTGCTGGCCTTCTGTCCCTCCCTAGTCTTTGCAGTTCCTTTCGGGTCGAACCATCCCAACACCCTTTCCCTGAGGCTCCAGAGCCCTTCACACCCTCGCGTTACCACTGGCGTGGTCGGCAAGCGGCTAGCCCTACTATCTATGGCTGATGGGTTCGTAGCTTTCTCCGCTTCTATCCCCGGAGAGTTCTCTCTCTCTTTCCTTTTTTTGCTCGGTGTTCCCCCACTGTCACTACCCTTATCCCCTTGCCCAATTTCTCCTCGGCCGGTCCTCCGTTCGTCCCGCGGTTCTTCCTGCAGAGGGTCCTCTTCGTTCCCAATCATCATTTCCTCGATCAATCTTGTCTTGTACTCCGCGGTCTTTTTTTCTATCTCTGCTAGTTTGCGCCTCGCATCCGTGACCCTCACTTTCTTTGACACAGCTCCCTCTGAATTCCTGGGGCTTGTCCTATCCTTATTTCTGCCCTCCTTGGTTTCCTGAGTCCCTTGCCTGCTTCCCCCGGCTTTCCCCAAGCTTTCTCCTGAGGAGATTTCCTTCCGGTTCCCTTTGGTTCCATCCGGATTTATCGATTCTCTGTCTTTCTGCCTCTCTTCGCTTTTTACGGCACTGCCTCCTAAGCCTGGTCCTCCTTCGCTCTTATGGTTATCCGTCTCATCCTCCGTTGCCATTTCGCCTAGTTGATAGACCGCACGTTCCTAGAGCAGAAGGGTCTGGCGCTCCCCTGGTGTAAATCTTGTCACAACGCCTTCCCCTCCCGTAAGATACCGGAGACCATAGAACACATCTTCCTACAGTGCCCAGGGGCGGTCCCCACTTGCGGTCCTCACCTGGCGTTGGTGGGATAGGATATGGAGTCTCCTGGGCACCGGATCGACTTGGCCATGGGATAAGAGGGCGCTGCTCTGCGAAGCATGGACCTCCCCCACGGACAACGATTTCGAAAATAACATGTTCCAGCTCGGGAGGAGAGCGGTTATTTGTGCACTTTGGAGGAAGCGCTGCACACACGATATTGAGGGAGTCCGTATGGAAGGAGAAGAAGTAACGGAAATTATAAAACAATATGTACAACAAGAACTCCTCTCAAGATGGCAGAAGGTCAAAAACCAACTACAAACATACCACTCAAAGAAAGATATCCAACATGCAATCAATCAATTTTCCAGGGGCTGGCTGGGTAGCCAAACAGGGGGCTGGATTGCCCATATCCGATGGAGGGTGGACAGTCCCCCGGACAGGAGCAGACCGACCTCAGGAGAGACTATTGCATCTGTTTCAAGGAATGTACTAAAGTGGACCAAGCTGTGCCACTGCACTCACCCGCAGAGTTCCCGGACTCGTTCCCTCCTCATCAAGTGTCACTAGTAGATATGCAATGGTATGGTGCTGAATAGGTGCAACTGCATCACAAAACTTTTGGGAGGGTTTAGGGGATTTTAGTAAAGTAGACAAACAAGCCTTTTGGAGGGTGTAGGATTGTTAGGGGAAATCCATAGAGATCAATAGTCGCAGTTTTGCTCTGGAGATATATGTAACAACTGACAGCCACACAGCTGAGAGGAACAACCAGCGACGCAATAGGCACACAAGGTCATTCAGAGGACTAGTTACAACAAGCTAACTTAGGCAGGGGTGAGGGGTGGTACATCCTTCCTTTTGGAAGTAATCAACGCCGTCCACTCGGGCCTTCCAACCATAATGGGGAGGAGCGTAGGGTGAGTAAACATTGTACTTTCCATTGACTTGTCGGGGGAATAGGAACCGAACTGTTGCTCCCCAGAATGGTAGGAGCCAAAACCAGGAGGTTCTGGAAAAAAAAAAAAAAAAAAGATTTTTAATTCCTAGAAGACTTGGCCAAAAAAAAAAAAAAAAAAAAAAAGGGGTTGTAGGGTTTGAAAATCCCTATATCCCCATATTTCTTTTTTGGATTTTGATGCTTTCTGTGATTTCCAAAAAAAAAGAAAACGAAAAAAAACAAGTATTAAAATCAAAAGAAACACAATAAAAAAGAGAACTTTTTTTTTTTTTTCATTTTTTTCTGATTGCTAGTATGTGTGTGTGTGTGTGTGTGTG